AAGCCCCCCCCCCCCCCACCCCGCTCCACCCCATTCGATCGATCAGAGCATTCATTAATAAATTAGTAATTAATGTAAATAATTATAATTATTATAATAGCTAATTGGCCCCGTTATTCATGAAGTTAATGTAATTTTTTTTCTCCTCCGATACAGAAATTGCTTTCTCTTTATTCTTTAACGTTTTTCTTGTTTTTCTTCCCTAAATTCCTTCTTGCCTTATAATCTATATAATCTAAACAATCAAGTGGTCATAGTTTATTACTCTTTATCGGGGCTTTTTTTTCCCCCTTTTTTTTCCCTTTTTTTTTCTTCAACGTAGTAGGCACTCTTTAGGATTTAACTGGATTATCGTCACTTTCCAATAACAAAATTCTTTAACAATACCGAGCTGTCGCGAAAAATTAAGAAAATATTTTCACAGCAAGATAATAATAAATTTTCATGTCCATATTTATAAATAGACGACTAAAAAACTCGAGGGATTAAATAGCGAGCAAATTATTAATAATTGGAACGATTTTAATATGCGAATCACGTATATGAAATTCTTATTAAAGCTTATCGGTAAATACTCCTATGATGTCTCTAAGCTCATCCCTCCCCTTCGCCCCTCCCCCATACCCCACTCACCAACTCACCCACTCACCCTCTCCAAAAATAAAAAACTTTACGAAAAATTACGCGATGAAAAATTAGAAATTGTTCTTATAAATACGTTCGCTAAAATCTTAACGAGTAAAATATCTATGGAGAGAATAATGTAATATATAAAGTCTTTTAACTAAATGCTTTGATAAACAATCGGAGAAATTGGAAAGAAAATTAAGAGAGTTCAATTTCGTGGACGTATAAAGCGAACGTAAGCGAGATAAATATGTGAATTACAACTGTAATGATTCAATTTCGCTGACAGTATTAGATCGTAAAGAATAGAATGATGGAGGAAAGGGTGACGCGGGTGACGTCACTACAGTACTAAAATGATAGAACTACCATAAATATCTCCCCTTCCCTCTCTCTCTCTCTCTCTCTCCTGCCCCCCCCCCCTCCTCCATTAAAAATAGGAAAAAGAAAGTACAGAGGAAGAAATGCAGAAGCAGCGAGAGATTGCAGAGGATCGATTGGTGACAGTTGAAAATCTACGAAACGAGCTACGAAGCTTGCGCGATCAAGTGAATTTACTCGACAAGCAGATCGAGAAGGATAGAGAGAAGCTGCTCAAGCTTACCGAGGACAAAAAAGTTCTTCTCGAGAAAGTAAACCGAGTCTTCTATTTAAATGATATTTTGCTCCAAGTCCTTTTTGCATTTGCGAGTGTTTTTTTTTCTCTTCTTTTTCTTTTGATCGACGACTGCTCAACGAGCGATCCGCGTCCTTAATTTCTCAGCCTTTAAATTAAATAGCAACGATTATTCAACGATTATTGCCGCCAAATTTACAAAGTGCCCATATAAATATTTTGCAAACGATTGGTCCATTAATTATCACTGGCCATTTAAGATGCTTTGTAGCAAACTCCAATATCATTGCGCTTATCCATTATTTATGAAATTGTGTGGACACGATTTGACGGAGTAAAGACATTGGATGAGCGTTTAATTCGCGTAGAATTTAGTTCAGTTTCAGTTAAATGTAAGGCAGTCTATTAATGCGGAACGCAAGACGTTTCTTAAAATACGTGCGCCCTTTTCCCGTATATCGCCAATTTGCCCGCCCAAGGGAATTTTCAATTGGCATTATATTACCGATCTATATCTTACATCACATTGTACCGAAATTTCATGAAATTGTATGAAATGTAAACGGCCTCCTCAGACCCCAATGTCCTTAATAATGAAACAAAACTTAACGAGCTAATAATTCAAAGCTAATTAAGCTACTCCAGCAACCGCTTAGCCATGGCAATTCATTCCATAATATCAAAAACGTATAATAAAATAGATGGTAACGATTGTGAGCAAGGTCGAAGTAAAAATTATCGCAGTAAAAATTCCTTATCAATCGTTAATTAATAATTATTCCATCTTACAATATTTCTTACATTATTTCGTGTACCATTTCTATTCGAATCCTCAAAATACATTGAACATGGGCGAAAATAAGCAAGCGCTTACACGACTTATATTTAGCGTATGCGTAAGCATCTCTATTGCCAGTCTCATATTACTAATAAATTTTTATCAATTAACCATCAACGAGCCTCGATTGTAGAATTAGTATTAGTTAATTCGTAAATGGCCATTATCAGTCGCAAGAAACAGCACGAAGAACCGAGTATCATTGTAATCTCGTTTAGCAATGTCGTAACTGCGACACCATTCGAAAACAAAATGAAAACAAACGAACAACAAACGAACAAAAAGCAAACAGAAAATAATGCCAGGAGGGAGGAGTGGAAAAGTCGGGCGCGTCGAGCCGAATGGCTAATCATCGGGACGAGATTGTCTGAACAGCATCGGCATTCTAATCCGGTCGATCCTCGTCTTCTTATCGCCGTTAGCAGTGCGCAGTTGCGTGCCTGAGAAATCGATCCGTCCCGAATGAGTCACCGCCGGTTCTCGCGCGAAAATCAGCGAAAATCGGTGATTCACCACGGACGAAGCCAACAGCCCCCGTACCATCGAGTCCGAGCGGGGATGGATGGTTGGCTACGACGAGGGCCGATTCGTCATTGAAATGGTGCCGCAGTCGGTGCCTTATCCGCCAATTCTCCCTCGTCCTTCTGCATAATTTCGAGTGTTACAATGTCATTATACGGTGTACGCTATAATAAGTACCGAGCATTGCTCGAATATTGAATCGTAGATGACCAATCGTAGGTGGTAATTTATAATCTGCATTGACATTATCAAAAAACTGATTTATACATTTTAAATTATATTTATAAATTATAGTCTTTTTTCAGTATGGACATGTTTGTTTGTTTGTTTGTTTGTTTGTTTGTTTGTTTTTGTTTTTGTTTTTGTTTTTTTCATTGTTTAGTCAAGTATTGATTAACGTCGAGTTCTCGATGAATGTGATCGTGGTAAGTTGGTGAAATGTTGCAATTACACTTGCTCTGTGGTATGAAAGTAATTTTTCTTTATGTATCGTAATTAACTTAAGTAATGTCTTGATTAAGTTATCAGCGGGCCGTAGCTGCGAATTAATCGCCTTACCAATAATAACAATTTTATATTCCGGGTATTATTTGACTTGACTTTGCATTATAAATTGATGCGAATCCTTCCCCAACCACAGAACGCATTGCGTCGTCACGCAATGTGCAAAACGTCTCCTCTCCAACGTCTATATCCTTGAAAATACCCGCCTCGTTCGGCATTATTCCGTAAAGCTTCCTCGCAACTCGAATATAATTAAAAGAACGAAAGAACGAAGGAAAGAAGGAAAGAAGGAAAGAAGAAAAGAAAGAAAGAAAGAAAGAAAGAAAGAAAGAAAAATCAACAACGCCCGTTGAAACTGCTGGACTGTTTATATTATAAGTGACATAATGCTCTCTCGTAGCGATAGTCTCGGCATGAATCATCCAATAATAATAATAATGAAAGTACGTGATTTGAAATTGGCATCACTCGAGGCAAAGAAGTAAGAAGCCAAGTAGACTCGCGATGGTGCGCTCCCGGAATTAAAATCAACTGCCGCTCGACGAAAGCGAGATAATTAACGGCGCAGCGGGCCAGCGGCGAAATTCCGGGAAGGTATCCCCGTGGCGGCTGACGCGCGAACTTGGAAATGCGAGTTAGCGTACGCATTTAGACGCTGAAAGCTAACGGGTGATAGGAGGGGGATAGGGGGAGAGGGGGGAGGGGGGATGGTGGTGAGTGGTAGGAGTAGGAGTAGGAGTAGGAGTAGGAGTAGAAGTAGGAGGAGGTGGAGTAGGAGGAGGTGGAGTAGGAGGAGGGGGAGGAGGAGGATGAGGAGGGGGAGGAGGAGGAGGGGAGCTTCGCTGGGGGTTCCTCCATGCGTGTAAATAAGATGAGCCGAGTCAATGTTCCCGGGCGGGCATAACGAAGGGCTGAGTCACGGGGGCTGACTCAATAGCACATAATAGTCGGGCGTTCGCGTGTTTCGGTCGACGAGCCTCCCTCGGTGGCTCATTTTCTTCTCGCCGTCTAAGTCCAGGGACCCGAAGCCGATTTATCCGTGCGAGCACGTTCGGGAAATGCTGGAAAATTCGATGGTAAGAGCAGAAGCCACTCTATTCGCTAATTGGGCGTGAAGAATTTAACGACCGGCCGATTGGCAGATTCGCGACCATTCGCTTTTAGATCTTCGGGTAATCTGCTCTTGTGCACAAGTCCACCCAGGATACTTTTTTTTTTCCCCCTTATATTTTCCTTCTTCATTACAATTTGAGATAATTTTCAGCGACGTTCCTATTTTCGAAATATTAAAGAAGAGCTTTCGAATGGAGCAGCGCAGCCGCGAATTTACGAGCTCGTTGAAAATAAACGAGTATTCAGTATGCTTTTCATCATTATTATTTATTTTTACTACTACTATTCCTGCTACTGCCGTCATCATCATCATCATCATCATCATCATCATCATCATCATCGTTGCTACTATTGCAATTGCTATTGCTATTGCTATTGCTATTGCTATTGCTATTGCCAATATTACTGTTGTTGTAAATATCATTGTTGGTTGAATCAAAAAGGGAATTAGATGAGAAGTAACGAAGCGGGGAGTGAGAGAAGATGTAATATATAAGATTGCATATGCGCGATACTTACATCGAGAGATTAATTTACAAGGATTCGACAGGTGGGGCGTGAAGGCCTTGAAATGTTAAAATCCCCGTCTGAAAGCAATGCGGATTTGATTTGACGAAACGAACGCGGCCGGATTATTGTTAGAATTACTATAAAGTAATGCGAGTGTTGGCGGCAACCGGGGTGAACGCTTATATAGTCTGCCGGCCAATAACAGTCCATGTGATCTCGCTCGAGTGGCTGGAAAGAGAAAAAGGAGGTGCAACGGTCTTGCGGGTGATTTGGGCCGAATTTGTGCGTTGCGAGGCCCGATATTACAAAGGGAGGGAAGGTCGCTGGGAATCTCGGTGGGAATCACGGCCAGGCGCCACTCGCTGGAGGACACGCAGGATCGTCTTCGCGAAGAGTGAACGAGGAGTATCGGTTGAATGCTCCGAGCCACTCAACTTCTTCTTCTGCCCCGCCGCTACCGTTGCCACCGCTGCCACCGCTGCCACCGCTGCCATCGCTGCCATCGCTGCCATCGCTGCCATCGCTGCCATCGACGCCATAGACGCCACGGACACCACCGTCATCACCGCATCACTAAATTATCCCCCACGGCGCATGCGAAAAGGGCTGAGCGTCAATTAACACGGCCCGTCCGTTCTAAATTAAGCTTGTGCGCAGGTTTCGGTGAGCGAGGCCCTGGCCGTGGTGAGGGGCGAGTGCGTTCATAAGACGGAATTGTCGCTCGAGGAAATGAAGATGAAATTCGACGACCAAATCGCCTCGACCAACTCGTTGCAAGAGGAGCTACACCGCTGTTTCAAGTAAACGCACACATTGTTCTTTAATTCCTTCGTCCCCCCCCCCCCCCCCCCCCCCCCCCCCCCCCCCCCTCTTCCCTCCCCCCCCCACATCCCACCCTTCCTTCACAACCGTCACCGTCCTCCCTTTCACTCGGATTTTGCGTAATTTCTATTTGCAGCCGTGACGTTCGCGAATCATCGCCATTTTCTTCGCTTTCTTTCCGGCGACCGATGATTTGTCTACTTTTGATCGACATCCTCGCGCTTACCCGTCGCGATTCAACCCATAATTTTCATTTCTCCAAACGCGTTTCGTTTCTTCACACCAACCATCAGTACCCTACCTTCTCGCGTTTGCATTTTTTTTTTTTGCTTGTTTATCTGTTTTCCAATAAACAGCACGATTTAGTAATACGTTGATGCTTCGATGATGGTGAAGTACGATTTACCAAGGATTTAATCGTTCGCGACTTATTTCCCCGAATAATCTTTTAGCAGTCGCAGCTCTATGTTAATGCCAATGTATCGCAGATGCACTTACTCTCCATTAATAATTTATCCCGTAAATATAATGCCGGAGTGTGGTGGTCATCGGTCGCCCATTGGCAATCTATTTACATCTAAGATAAAATAAAAAATTTACATTGAAATAAAATGAAAAAAAGAGAGAATGAAAATCCCTTTGAGCAGCGATTTGAAAGAAAAGGAAGATGAAAAGATGAAAATGGAGAAGACGGTGTGCAAGATGGAGAATGATAACGAGAGGCTTAGGGAATGTTTGAAAACGAGCGAGGAAATGGAAAGGAAGCTGAGCTCGCGAGTGGCAGAACTGGAGAGTAAATTGCTAGAACAAGAACTGAAAATACATCAATTTGATATATTATGCAACGCTCAAGTGTAAGAATCAATTTTTCTGCATTAATTATCATTGCTTATCATTAATTATTTTCTCTGATAAAAGTCCAATTATTGCAAGTCCAACGGTTAATGTGCAACATTAAGGGAAGAAAGGGGAGAAGCTTATCCAAACAATCCACCACCTCCTCCTCTACCTCCTCTACCTCCTCCTCCTCCTCCTCCTCCTCCTCCTCTTTCTCCTTCTCCTTCTCCTTCTTCTTCCTCTTCATAAGCTAGTTTTTAAATTCGCTCGTAAATAGTGTTTTGATATGAAAGTTAATAATAACGTAACAATGTTAATTCGATGTGTATTGAAAATGTTAAGTAAAGCTAAGTGAATAAAATAAATTTAAGATTGTGAATAATTTTATGTAGCAGTCGCACAGTCTGAAGTAAATTATTAATAATGTTTAAAGGGAGGAGCTGAATGATCTAAGGGAGAAACTATTAAGGCAATCGGAGGATAGCTGCTGGAGTAGTAAAGTTTTGAAATTTGCTAGTAGCGTCGTGCGTGTACCAAGAGCCATTCTTCGCACCATATCATATTTCACATTGGGGATGTCAGTGATTTTATAAAATAAGCGTACGCATCATCGCATGATAAATTAAATATTCTCTTTTAATTGCAAGCTCCTTATTCTCGTTGGTGTGGGTAAATTGGCTTGATTTAATTGCCCAATGATTTTACGTTGGGCCTTTAGCTGATTATAAATCGGCCGTGCGCCCAACCGATCTGAAATCACTAGCCAGTTACTATAATATTAAAACTCACTCTTATCTTTTTATTCGTATCTCATGTAATTTTCACGAGATATTTGTATCAAATTTATTTTTTTCTATTTTCTATTCATTGTAAGAAATAATTATTTATTTGAAATAATTACTATTATGTTAAATATAATCGATCAATCGTTCGGGTTCATTAACATACGAAACATTTGGCTACGACAAAATTTACTTCTTTCTACTGCGTGTCTCTTCCATTAAACTCACTCTGTTCGTCAAATTTAATAATAATAATAATTTTGAGCTGCAACCAACATAAGAGACATTCTATTCTATTTTCTTTTGTCACTTATATTGAGCATGAAAAATTTATTATCCAAAAACATACACAACGATAAAAGTTTTGCATACATTTTTTTTACAGTTTATTGCAAAAATGTTTGAGGAAAAACATACTCCAGCGATTTTCATACAAATTAAGAATTTTGCATCGAGTGCGTATGCGTACATTTATTTACTAAGGAAGATATTTTAAGACGAAGGCCGCAAGAGCGAACAAGTAGGAGAGAAACAAATTAACGCGTACGCTCGTGCTGTTTATGAAAGTGTAGAAGCATGAATAAATGAACGAAAATAGTGATAATTATTATATAAATTTTATTTTGATACTTTTTTTTTTATTTATTTTTCTTTTTGTTTTTGTATAACACGTCATTTTCTGACTTAATGTTTGACAATGATGAATTATAATGATAATAATCGAGTTTAATGTAAGGAAATGATTAATAAATAAATTTACATTTCATTATTATAGAAATGTCAGAATATTGGCTTTGATTTTGCTCAATCGATTCCATCTTTTTTCTTTCTTTTTTCCTTTTTTTTTCTCTTCTTTTTCCCTTCAACGTTTAGTTAAGTTTATTATGCACTTCACATATAATCATCAGAGAGGATTACAATAGTATATCAATTATTAAATTAACACGAGTAGTTGTCACGCAAATTAAAGACTTTACATATTTATAATGTTGCTTGTTGATTTTTGACAATTTTTTTTTTAATCGATATACTTATTAAATATTCCAGCTCTCGTGTGTTTAAGTAAATTCGACAATTTTACGCTACGAATCCAATTCTTACTTTCGTTCTTATCAAAAACATAGACCGTTACTTCCCGTATAAAAGAGGATTCGGATCTCGGATTTCAGCCATTATTTTCTTATTGGAACTACGAGATGATTAGGACCAGTAATTCGTATATAAGTGTATAGCGAGTGAAGAGAAACAGTCATCGATTCTTGATGCCCATAACAGCAGAATTAGTAGTTATCATTACAGGATAGCAAACATTTTATAATCAACATTGTCTTCTTATTTGAAACTAAATCCTTCCACCCCTTCTCTGATTGCCAAAAGGAGTGCCTTTTCAAAGTGATCGTAACACTCGTAGTCGGGCAAGCAGAGTTGATTGATGCTGAAAATGAATTTAGGACACGTATTTATAATCAAGCCATTCAATTAATTTTTATACACACACGCGCACACGCGCGCGCGCACACACGCACAGAGAGAGAGAGAGATGCATAAAAGTATCGATATAATAAGTAGATACCATGTGTGCGCCGTCGGGAGCTTTCCAAAACTTGGCACAGCAATGATTTGGAATCTTGGCCTGAGCTGTTGAAAGCCTCCATGTGGAAGTTGCGAGCAGCCAGTGGTAAATTGAACAAGTCGCGCCATTTCTTCTTGAGTGAAATTGCTCACTGCTGTCCAGAACCAATCGAGGACTTTGAGAAACTCGGAAGACGTGCCGTGGGCTAAATGATGAGACCGTAGATCCGCTACGATATATTCTCCCGTTCCGCAGAGGAGCAACTTTAATGGATGCACAATTAATAATAAATAATGCAGTCTTCGTAAACATTGTCTAGTACAATTAATGCAAAATTGAGTGCGAACGGTCCAAGTATTATTGAGTTAAAATATTAGATATAATATTACAGATTAGAAACAATACCTCTAATTCGTTTTCGTCGAATATTGCAAGGATATTATCCGGAATAAATTCATTTAATCCCTTTAAAAAGGAATGGACTTCATCGACAATGGAATTAGCTAGTCTATATTGTGCCAAGGCATCTAAATAACGGACCTTCAGATCATTTGTAACGCGAATTTTACTGCCGCCGGGAATCAACTCTGCCTGCTAAATTCAACAAATAGACGACACAATTAATTTAACCAAAAAATTCCTCTTCTCCTGGCGTATTTAATTAAGGGAGAGAGAGAGAGAGAGAGAGAGAGAGAGAGAGAGAAAAGTAACAAATAAATAAAAATACATGATAAATACTCACTTTTATCAGTTGTCCATCGTTATCGTATTCGTCTTCGACAAAGTACAATTCCAATTCGTCGATGTCATTTTCGAGGATATATTTAATTTTGCTCAAGTATAATTCAGGATCATCCTGTTCAAAGTATTTGTAATGCACCCTCAAGCCGATTATTTGGGCTAGAAAGGATCGTGTAAATCGAGCACGAACAAGCTGTCGATAAGCGTCCCCGAGGGCCGATTCGTACAAGCATTTCCCGACTATTCGCCCCGCAAACTCGAAATGCTTCAGCGTCAAGTGCACCGGTCGCTTACTATTTGGATGCACCAAAGCTTGCCGAGACTCGCCAAATGATTCAAAGAGCCCATTGCCAGGGTCAAATAAAGCAGCGCAAATCAGCTCGAACCATTCCCTGCGAACTCCACCGCCATCGATAGCTAAATTTCGACATAAATTGATTAATTAGAGGCGAGGGTTGATCGACTGGTGGGATTTGCTCGTCGTTTATAATCAATTTGAGGAAGAAATGCACTTGCCTGGCTCACCAAGAAACGTTATTTTAAAATCTTGGAACCAGCCGTTCGTGAAAAGCCCTTTCGTACATATCATGGACTGGAAAACGATGGAATAACAAACAACAAGAAAACAATAGAAGATAATTAAAAGCGATCGAGTTAAACTAACCAGCTATTATGGACATCAAATGATATCGACATTAGCCAAAGGATTCGTAAAAGTTAACATCGCATACGTGTAACATCAATATTCAATTTAACAATTGTCAATGTTTCTTAATTTTTGCGGAAGGTAAATTTCCGAACTTACCGACTCTCGATAACATAATTCTGGCACAATTTCGTTCGGTGCGCCGCATTAATTGAAAGCTCACGGTTTTTCGGTTCCTTAATTTTTTCGCAATTACAATTAAAAATTGATCGAAGCTTTCGTTTAAAGTGATAAAATAGTGATAAAATTCAAATTGAAAATTTGAAATCAAGGCAAAATATCTAGTATATGTACAGTCAATATAGTAGGAATTTGTTGTTTAAGAATTAAGCTTACCGATTCCAGCAGCTTGTCGCGTTGAACATATAAATTTACTTTGTGACGATAGTACTTCTGATTGTGTTTTCGAACTTCGTGATAAAAGAAATTCTGTTTATTGGCAAACGTTTCGCTACCGCCAATGTTTTTTAAAAGAAATAATGTGAAAGTCGCAGCTATGGTGTCACGATGGTGCGAGATCAATTCAACGGGTAGCTGGCATCCGTCGTCGATCGTAAAAGTCTCGTAGCCTTCGTATCTGTTATCATCGCGATTATTGAAATGAAACTGAGAAGACAAATAAGTCGATTATAACATTGTAATTTTATATATTAATTACCGTTATGAACTCGTGACATTTAATAATAATCAATTTACCTTCGTTGATGGACAAAGTTTGAACGTTACCAGTCTCCTTGGAATGAATCCCAATAAATATTCATTAATTATTAATTGCTTTGGTGAGATGTAGCAGAATACATTTTTAGGTTTGGAGAACCTTTTACCTTGAATAGTCAAGAGCTTGGCTGTATAGCATATGTCGGGATATTTTGAGGCGACGTTGTCATGCACAGCTTTGCCAACAGCACCTTTAATTACAAATGCCATTTTAAAAATTAAATGTAATAATAAGTAATAATAAGTCAAAAATTGCGCACAGAGGGACCAAACGTGTATAACTGCAATATTAATAAAACCATTGAGCTTCAATGCTGGTACTTAATAATAAAATCATACATATTATCACTCTATTATTATTAATTAAATGTTGCATAAGGTTACTTACTTTCTAATACAATAATATCGAAATCTCCATTGTGAAGTTGCGATCCAAACAGACTTATAGTCACGTGGTACCAGCCGTCCTTTAGGAAATTAACTTTTAACTGGATCCGATCATTACTAGGATCGTGTTCTAAATGAATGATACATAATTCTGAAGCAGAATCGGGGGTTGAGCTACCAATCTAAAATTACAAATATTCATTATTGATAATTATAAGTTGATCAGCTATCGGTAGTCTTAAATTAATCGCTATTGAATCTTAAATAGATTTGAAACACGTAATTTTAGTCTTTTGCTCGCCGTCTTCTGTTCTTTCCTTTCTTCAATGCCCTCGAAGCTTCCGTTCTATTCCGTTCGATCAGTGAGAAAAAAAGCTTTATGCCCTGCATTTATTTTTCTTTCTTTTCTTTATTTCTCTCCCAACTAATCCCCCCCCCCCCCACCCCCCCCCCCCCCCCCCCCGCCGACCACGCCGTTGTTTTTTTTTCAACAACAATCGAATCTATCCGTTAATTTAGTTGATAGTTGTTGTGCGTGCATGAGTGCGTGAGTGCGTTAGTGCGCGGGTTATCATGCTCTTATGGCTTTTGACAAGAAGTATTATTAGTGAGCATTTTAAAGTTCAAAATCTCTCAGGCGTCGGATATTTAAAAGAAGACACGCTCGTTTCACGGACACTCGACTCTGTGAATTGGAAAAGAGAAGAAAAGAAAAGAAAAGAAATGAAAAGAAAAGAAAAACGAAGAAAAAAAGAGGTGCTTGGGATATCGACGATAAGGAGCTTTTTGGTTCCGGAATATCCTCGGCTCGCATCAAGTCGGCACTTGATTGAGTAAGTTGTCTCCTCATCTAACTCCTACCGAGATCTCCAAATCTATACAATCGTCGAGAAAGTGAAAATCTCGCGAGTAGGTTAGTCGCAAGTCGGCTGCCGTCAAGGTCCAACGGATCGCGCAATCACACGCCATCAGCCGCCGAATCTATATAATTTAATAATCTTACGCGAGCTTAATCAAATCGATGAAGGAGAGGGCCAGCGGGGTCCACCGCGTCGCACAAATAGCGTAACTAACTCGAACCTTCGAACCTTCGACCCTTCAACGTCTTCTCTTCCCCCCCCCCCCCCACCCAAATCCACGAAGCTCCGGCAACGGGTAGTTTATCTTTACGCCGCGTGCTAATTATTTTACGTACTTTGTATATGCTTTAGTGTTGCTCTCTCTCTCTCTCTCTCTCTCTCTCTCTCTCTCTCTCTGTCACACACACGCGCACACACACACGCACACACACACACGCACACACACCGAGAAACACAAACACATCATTTTACATCACGATATTATTGTACTTTAATCGATGAGTAGGTAAAAAACAGCCGTTAAAAAGTTATTTTAATCTTGGAAAAAGCTCTATTATATCGACGCGAAGGATACCAAATGATTTTGAAATTAAATTATGCGATTAAACAGCAGTGCGTCGTTTGTAATGTTGGGAAGATTGGCGTTGATACGATACTTTGAGATGCGCTGAGAATGAAATATAAGCAATTGTTGGGAAAAGTATAGTTTCCACGGTGAAAAATCTCCCCTCTCTCGGTGTAATTTAATAGAATGTAATATTGAAATAGTTTTGTCTTAGCAGTGAGTAGTGAAGAAACGTTTGGAAACATCATTAATCGGAGGATATACGTTGAAAAATAGCGTTTTGTCTTGTTTTTTCACTCTGTCTTCGTTCAATCATCGCAACGATTACGATACAAAGTCAATTTACCAACGTTAATGGAAATTAATAGGACTTTGTTTCGAGAAAGCCTACCTACGAAGGCGTGACTTTATTTTTTCAGCACAGATTTACATTATTATGATTTATAAACATTGGCATCCAAATACTGGAAATCTTCGAAGTAAATATATCACTCGTAATGCATTTAATTTTCACGCATTATTAATAATCCATAATAAGACAAAGGCAGCACGATTTGCTACGTAGTGCAAAGAGATAAATGATTACGAGAAAGGCTCTTATCTACGAGGTGGAATGAAATGGGCAAAAGTAGTAAAACAAAAAACAAAGAGAGAGATGAGAGAGAGAGAGAGAGAGAGAGAGAGAGAGAGAGAGAGTGAGAAAGGAACTTGAATTGGCTTGTGTAAATAAAGTCTTAAAGCCGAGAAGGATAAACGATGAGCTTTCTGAGCGTAACTCCAGAGATGAATTATCAAAGTAATAATATCATCGTACTAACATAAACATAAACATAAACACAATCAATATTAAACTTACCCGAGTTATATTTACATCGTAGCCGTGTACGGGCTCGTCATTGATCCCGAAAACGCAGGGATTGTCATATTCATCGCGGGGCTCGATCGTCATCGAATGTGCTACTCCCGCTGTACATACGACGATAGGACTGTGCCGTACAAAGACCGTTTTATTTGAATCCGGAGATCCTGAATAAAACGAAGAGACATTGTGTAATGTCGGTAAGTCGGGTAGTCGATAATCAATCTCGATAATGAATAATGCATTCCATTATCGCGTTCGCGCAATAGTTTGGGTGGGGAGTGGCGGGGGGGGGGGGGGGGGGGGGGGGGGGGGGGGGGGGGGGGTCCGCCTCTCTCTCGTTCGTTAATATTAATTTATTGATAATTTTCTGTTATTCTTATAAAGTGTCGTGCTGAGTTTTATGATATTAAAAGTTACTGCGTCATACGAGAAGGTTTAACCGATGTGTATCATTGGAATATTTGAATTTTAATTGAAAATACGAATTGTGTTTAATCATTAGTGCTCGCAATACTCGAAGCAGGTAAGGAAAAACAAAATATTTTAATTGAATTCAATTATACCGGTCGATTTTATAAAATTTCTCTTGCTGTTTGAGTTATGCCTATTTATTACACGGCGAGTCAACATCTCCATTGACAAAATCTACTTTAACAATTATATTCCTCGTTGTCCCTTGCGTTTTGAATTTCTCAAATTATCGACGTATGCGCATGTCAACTTTTTATTTTACCGTTATACGAAGAATATAGAGTCACATGAAATTCATGACCCGGAAATAACATTCTCTTGGGGTACATAGAATATACCTACTTGTAATATATTCGTTTTCAATATGTAAATTTTGAAAGATTTTATAAGAACGTTCAACAATTCGATATATTATAATGATAATAATGCACTGTTTTATATTACTGTTGATATTACTCAATATTTTCTGCGGATTTAAAAATATACTAATCATTCACGCCAAGAGTGTTTATTCAATTCTATAGAATAAAGTTACAGCAAGAAGTAATACTTTTAACAAATTCTCTGTATACATTATAAGGATAATAAGGATATATATATATATATATATATATATATATATATATATCAAGTGGCGTGAATGTAAGGAAATTATATGGTTGCGCGACATTTTAAACTGGAGCTATGTAACATAATCGGCGTAAAAATGAAAAAAAATCGCTCGATATGAAAATCATATGAATTCTATCCTGCCACTAAATTATTGCATTTTAATGTGACGCGTAAACGACATTTGTAATACGATATTGCAATGTAAAAAAATTCTTTAAAATAATTATCAGCATTTATTATATCGATTGCAATTGTTATCGTAAATGTTAATATTGATTTAATAAAATTTATCGACTACTGTATTTAATAGTTTATAATGTGACGATAAACTTACGCCATACAAGACATAAATTTTTAACATCAATTTCGATTCTTTTACCCCTCTAAATCGTTCTTTTTATTCTTAGTAATTACGTAGTTTAACAGTTTGTAGATATTTTATCATCGGTATTTGAAAATTAATTTGAGCATTTTACCGTATTGTTGTCGTTGTCGTCGTCGTCGTCGCCGTTGTTGTTACTGTTATTTTTTTTGTAATTATTATTATTTTTATTGTAATTATTATTATTATTATTATTATTATTATTATTATTATTATTATTATTATTATTTACTGAAAAAAAAGAAGAAAAAAAGAAAACGAAAACCCACTTGTAATTACCCTGCATAAAGTATAACGTATAATTGAAATAGGACGGTTAGACAATAGAGTGGAAAATATTACCGGGAAGGAAATTCTTTAAAAACGGACTTCCGCGAACGTGACAGGATCCAATAAGCACAGCAATTGTATATTGTCCGGCATGTCGAACTGTGAACTTGACCATCGCTGTGTTGGCTGCTAGGGAATTCATTCCACTTAACTCTATCAGAGTTGCCACTGTACGTGTCCCTTTCGATACTTCCACAATCAGCTTGTCTTTGTCACATATGGGATACGGCTGTCCATTTCTTCGATAAAACTGCAATAATTTATAACATATCGACATTATATAATATTAAGTGTCGTTAATAGCGGATGATTTATAAGGTAATTATATGACGATACGTATTCTCGTGCTTAATGGCTCTTAATGGTTCAAACCCAAGGTCTTATGAAGCTCTCTGTAATTACGTGATTTACTAAAATCAATATAATTATTACATCTATCATTCCAAAGGCTTAAATAGAATGAAAGAAAGAAAGAATGAAGGAAAGAAAGAAAGAATAAGGAAAATGTAACATTTCATTTTATTCAAGACAGACGAATCGAGCTTTTAATTTGTTAAAGCACTTTCAATTCCATGTGCATTATTAATTCATTTCAATTCAATAGTGAATATAAGGAAGGATGGCGATTTAAAACTTTTAAACAACATTAATAATACGTGAAGATGAAAGTAACGATAATTGCAATAAATAGCAAAACAATAGGAATGCGTTCGTTAATGGAACAAGTAGATAGATTTTTTTTTATATAACGCGCACATACATGTGACGTTTGTCCTCTTGAATATTTTAATAAGAGATTATATAGAAATATGCCCGTAATGTTTGCTATTACAAAAGAAAGCATTGGAATTGCACGCTAGTTTTCTATCCATTAAAAATTAAGCTTCTTAATTAATGAAAAATTTTTTTAAGAATTATAATTGAACGTAATTTGCACGTAAAGGAAAAGGTAAGGAAACATATAAGATTTCAATACCTTTCTCGCCCTCCCTATAATGCTCGTTTATAAAAATCCTCTCCAGTTTAATCAACAGTAGAAAAAGTTAGAAATTATTTTACAACAACACTGTTGAGATAAGCGATTATGTAATAGTTGCCAAAATACCTACATTCGTAATTCAAGTAATTGTCAAGATAACGACGATACATTAATAATATACATGTCGGTGAATATAAATCAACAGATAGAGAAAAGCATTTTCGGAAAATGCGTGCCCTCTGTAAAATTGTTTTATCGAAGCCCTCCGTATAATCCTCTTAAGCTTCTCGACAAGCAATTCGGATAGATTTTCATATTCATAAATAACCTCGTGATATAAAGCATTTTTTTTTTTTAACAAAGTTTCGCGAGAATAATTGTTTTCTTACAAGTTAAAATTGTTTTACGATTGAATCATAAGGCCGTAGGTCTTGCCGTATTAGCCGTTATATTGCACAGATAGATTGTACGTATACGTGCGTGCGTGCGTGCGTGCGTGCGTGCGTGCGTGCGTGCGTGCGTGCGTGCGTGCGTGCGTGCGTGCGTGCGTGCGTGCGTGCGTGAGTGCGTGCGTGAGTGCGTGCGTGAGTGCGTCAATTGTATGATAATGCGTAAATCCAAAGTACTAATTCACGCTGCCGATTGAAATTTGATAAAATACGCGTATTATGGTAATATTAATATTAACATGAATATTCAGTGAAAATTAATTGAAAGTAGATTATTCAAAATAAACAAAAACAAAAAAATATCGTTCGAATACATTTTATGCGACTTTTTTTCTTTTTTTTTTTTTTAACTACATTCTATATATTTTATATATTATATGTGGTATTTGTACACAAGTGACATGTTTAAGTGCAACTGACCATAAAGTTGTAAATGAAAAATTATTATGTCTTAAATTGAGTGACCCATGGGTTTGAGAATTTTCTTCAAATCTCATGCATTTCGTGTGCTTAAATTGCCCAGCCTCGATTAGCCAAAATCAATAGCCAAGTGACTTGATCCCAAGATCTGGTATAATTTTTTTTAATATCAATAATAATATTTATAAATGAATGGGAGTTTTCATGGACGGTACGAGCAATTGTATTAAAAATCTAAATAAAAATAAGCACTTCGTAAATGCCGATCAATAATTTCAATAATCATGCCAAGGGGATGATAAGCTTATTCGTCGACAAAAATAATTCTTCCGACCGACAGTTGTAAAACGACGTCTTTCCGAATATTTTGCGTATCACTCGTACATTAACTTTTAAGATTGGTTGCATCGTTGATATTGCAAGTGCTTTCGCAATTTTCAAAATGACCAACCCTCACTACGTACGCGCAAGTCTCTCATAAGATTATTATTATAGGTGACCGAATGTCAAAATCTCGTGGATTTTAGACGGAAAGACGTTAAAAGCCACATGATAATTTCGACAATCGTAACGATTGTTATGCGTGCGATATGTCGTGAAGCATAAATGAAAAGAAGAAAGGATTCAATCATAGGATATTCGGTGCAGAGTTGTACGAACTAAAGATCATCTACATTTATCTACAAGAAATGCAAAGACTTAGGAATACATGGGACGACTGGTTGTTAAAAAGTGACACGATGACGGCGAGGAAGAAGCGTCCGACGATTGACTGGTAACCTTGTAAATGCATTTTTTTTTTTTTTTTTTTTGGCCTCGGGTACATTTAGACGAAATAGAAACGTAAATAACAGACGTGGCCAGCGGGGCGGCGGGGGGCTCAATTAGAATTGCAAGTATGTATTATATTGTATTTCCAATACAATTGCGCGTATTGGCCAATCGTCAGGATACTGGGGATGCTGCCACTACGGGGGAATTTAATAACATTCGAGCGTCTCTTTCAATTAATCATCAACACACTCGATATCAATTCGCCCTTCCACGACGCAATAAGTCCAACCCCGTCCCGTACTGTTTTATTCGTCGAATCCAGGTATTCCCAGGGTTTATAGAGAAGGCGATTGTCTTGGGCTTCTACAGGCTATCGTGGTAACGCTAAACAAATCAAATTCAACATTACTTGCTCGATAATTAATGCACGATAAATCCTCGAGGTCTTCTATGCACTAATCGTATATCGTTCTATTAGCATTACATGAATAATTTTATGCGCTTGCTATAGTTGCAATTCCTTTACCTTATCCATTTATAGCGTAAGCACGCGATAATAATAAATTTTACTTTCTAGATTGACACAGGTGCAATTGATTGCTGCTTAGTAGATTCTCTCCTCCGTTCAGCCTCACACAAAGCTATTAATTATTTTTCTTTCAACTATAAACGCAAAAACGTACATCTATCTATTCGTTTATTGTGCAATGTATCATTTACAATCGAGAATGAAACTTTATTAAATGTTCGTTAAGGGCTGTAAATTGTTTATTGAACTATGGAAAGAAAATTTCAAATCGCTCGACTATACAATGCGGTAAAATCAACGAGTTTTACGATTGAAAATTATATTGTACGTACAGGCAGTTAAGGTTTTATTAGTAATAAATACCGCTCCCTACGCTTCGCATAAGAGTGTGGTGAAATAAAAAAAAAGTCGAGCCCCGCCCCCGTAAAATTATTACGCAGACAGTACAGACTGTACAGCCCGTAAATGTTCAATTTTTCTCAACGGCAGCAGCAGCAGTAGCAGCAGCAGCAACAGCAGCAACAACAACAACAGCAACAACAACAACAACAATACTAATTTGCAAGAGAAAAAAATTGCGCGGTCGACGTTATTCGACACTGTTCGATTGATTTTACGCGGCTGACTTCTTTTTTTTCTTTTTAGACTCGATAGTTGCGAGCGCACGGAACAACGAGGCCGGGGAAATTGATTAATCCCCTTCGTCTTTCATAATACAAACTAACGTTTCTTACTTATCCCCAAAAGATGTGCAATACCATTATTGCTTTTGCTTTATCGTCCGGCAACTTTACTCGACTTTATCTCTGTCGGCTGGATGCTGTTATGCTGGCCGCTCCACCTGCTTAATTACTTATTGCGACTGCGCGCGTTAATTTAAAGGTTCGAAGGATCGGGAAGATAGGACGGCATCGGTTATGCAGCTACTCCCGTCGATTTGAAGAATCATCGATTGACGATTGATAAGCGTGGATGTCGCGAAATAATTTTATTGCCATGGATGATGTCAATGATGCGGCAAAACTGGCGAGAGTAAAACTGTTTTCTTATTAAATTGACGTTTGCACGTGCGTGTCGCGTGAGTTGATCGAGAGTCCTCGCGAGTTCATTATATGTTAAGGAAGCACGACAATTCGCTGGAACGGTTATTCATTACGTAAGTCAAGCATGCTTTTACTTCATTGATACACGTGGAAAATGTTGACTGCTCTTTGTAGGAAATAGCAGGTGCAGCGTGTTTGTTTGTGCGTGTGTATGTTTATGGGAATAGATTCGTCTAATACGAGCTAATCGAGATCTTGAACTCGAAATGTCTTGTTGCCAAAGCGATTGTACGATCGAAGCATCTTCAATGATCATTAATATTAGATATTTTGCTACCATCGATCCAGCATCTTACCTTAACGATGAAAGTCACGGTCTCGCCGACGAGCTGCGGCTCTTCCCATTCAAAGTGCACTAGGCAGTTCTTGGGCCAAACGTATGCCCCCGTGACGTACTGGAGGAGCGAGTATTTGGACTTGGATGCGAGGACAGTTTGTGTCCTAGTCGCGAGAGTGACGAGCCCCGCGACTGATACGAAGACCACCAGCATTCCGCCTGGAAACGTCAACCTTAATAGCGAACTCTTTAACGCAACCTCCTCCTCGCGCGTCTCTCCGTGCCTGGTTTATCACATTGATCTATAAAGCAAAATTGCTTTATCGAGCGAGGAGCCAGTGACTTTATCTCAATAGCGTAAAGCGCGACAGCTTTCACTCGCTGTTTTCACAGTTGATTTTAAGGAAGCTCTCGGCGAATTTCCTCGTTAATATCCCTCGAATAACGCATAATTCAAGCTTCCGACAATCTTTCGACAGCTTATGTACGATGTAATGACTAGCGCGCCGTATTTCCAGTCTTTTCATCCTAAAGTAAAGTTAACAAAGACTATCTCCCTCTCTCAGTCTGTTTACCTACATCATTTATAATAATTATCAACTATTCGTGAAATCTTTGCGATAGATATAATTAGTAAGTTCGATTTCTCATTCTTGCATGTCATAAAATAATTACCTTGGATGTAATTTTGATTTTAAATAATTTTATTCGATAAATTATGCAGGAAACTTGCACGACTACCAATACAATTTCAGCAATTTTACAATGAACTTTCAATGAATGACTACATAAAATCCACATTAAATACTTATAAATAATTCATTATTATTTTTAAAATTATGAAAATACATACACGATAGTGTTTTTTTCTTTCTTTTTTGTTATTCGAATGCATTATAACAATATATGGTACTATAACTTTAATAATGAAATTATTACGTAAATAATTGAATTTGTTTGATTTCATATTTATATTTCATAAATATTAATATTTAAAAAATTTTCCTCTGTTAAAATGCTCAACAAATAAATAAGAAAACATTTCTGATTTGGCTTTAGAACTTATTTTATAATTTCATAGTAATATATTTATTAATTTATTTTTTCGATAAAGTATTATTTATATGACAAAGTACGATACTACGAATTCATAAATAAAATTATAGTAAACATTTATGCATGCTTTTTGGGTAAATTGAAGTTAACGCAAAAAAAAAAAAAAAAACAGTACAAGTCTCGAGCCCTCGACAAAAGCATTATGTAAACTAAATGAGATGTCATGCGAATCAATTTTCATTCATTTTCCAATGAAATTTTAGCAAAAAAGTTTTGAGACTAGTTAAAAAAAAAAAAAAAAATAAAGAAAAAAAATATATATATATATATATATATATTATATATAGAGAAAAAAAGAGGGAACATGATTTTTCTCACACATTGACTACTGACAATTTATATAGCCATCGTCTTTTACATTCTTTCTGGATTTTCAGAATTTATATTTGTCTGGAGAATAATAAATTATTCAGTTCTAATTACTCTTCCCCCTTATCAATTATGTGCATCAATTAATTTGTTCATATTTATATTATTTCAAGATTAAATTAATAAATTTAATGCTTATTTTATATATTTAATTTAGAATAAATAGTTGATTTAAGTACTTTCATTCAACTTCGTCATCTATATATTTTATAAATAATTAACAATGTCCTAGTTCATCTCATAATTACGACCATGATTTACCACTTAAACAATACTTGATAAATATAAAGCGATAACTAATGTGATGAAGAGTTTAATCAATTAATATCATAATAATATCATTTTACAATTTTCTAAAAACATATTAAAATCCAATGCAAGTATGCCTTTAATTAATAAATAATTTTACAAAATAAATTCGCATTATATGAATTATTATAAAAATAAAATCTTAGATTATAATTCGATAAGAATTAATTTATTTAGGATTTTTTAATGCTTATCGATAAAGCATGACACCTGCACGTTTTATCACAGTCAGTGCAATAGATAAATAGTCATTAATGTTATTTAAGTAAGATAAGTATTATTATATTTATAATATAATGGGAAAACTGGTGAGAAAATTCGTAAAAAGTTATTGAAATTTCGATTATTTAGAATGCTGTTACTGAAGAAAAACTTCAGAATAAAAAAATTAGTGTCAACTGTAATTTTTGGTTTATAACGATTAGATTATTTACCGTTTATAAAAATAGAAAAAAAAAAGAACATTAAATATTTATTATAATTATACTAATTTTTAAGTTTAAGTTACAGCACACATAATTTAAAGAATAAAAAACAAATATATAAATATATAACGAAAAAGAAAACATTGTTTTATCAAATACGGATTAAGAGGAATGATCTAGAGAAAGAAGTCTGTACGTTTTATGCAATTAGCTTTATAAAATATTTTAATTATAATATGAAAAAGAAATCTTATACTTATCTGATAAGTGTTTGAATTTGTTCAAGTACGTTATTTATCCGATTATTTATAATATGCGCATACGCACATATTAATTACAAATATTTTGTTATATAATGTAATAAGGTCAATAAAATATTTATATATATATATATATATATATATATATATAAATAAGCGCATTTTTAAGGTAAATAAATTATCTATAATAAAATGAAATTTGCTATTATAAGCGTTTTTGATATTTCTCTAAAAATGCAATTGACTTTTTAATTGTAGAGTTTGAATATTATTTATATTATCGATATTTGATGTTGACGGTTTCGATTAATTATTGAAATTGCTATGATTATTATATTTTGGAAAATTCTTTATTCCAACAGAATATACAAACGAAATACTTTAAAAATTTTGTTGCATATGAATAAGTCATTCAATTTTTTCGTTCCTTTCTTTTTTTTATTTTTTTTTTTAGGAAAAAAACATTTCTGATGATTTATTATAAATGCAAGTTTTATATTGTTATATAATTTAATATTTAGATATAGTAATGGCAATTAATCAGGTGAAACGTAGAAATGTCATAAACAAGGGATTTTAAACATTTTCCCAAATAAAATTCTTTGTACCATATTGTAATAAAAATTAGAAGAAGTCGAAATGCTAGTTTCTTATTATTGAAATAATAAAAGCGATCTTCGAACGAATCGATTGCTTTTGAAAAATTTTATCCATACCAGATATACGCGACGAACGTAGAGTAAAGGAGGCTCGAGACTCGTGGACAAATAAAGCCAGCTCTTTGCACACTCTTCTCAATAAATAAGAAAGAAGAGCACAAGGCGAGGTAGGAGGGGCTATGAATAAGAATAAAAATAAGAAGAAGAAAATGCCATAAGTATACCCCAAGTCCAGGCATCTTCATGCTGACTATTCTTCACGACGCTACTCCAGAGCTCGGCCTTAAGCACATCCAGATCCTCCTTGGAGGTAGGTAGCGTTTGCCTCGCCAGGACCCATCGTGGTAGATCCTCGCCGAGGGCTGTCCTCACCAAGTTGTCCTCGACCCAGTAGACGTCTTCCAGTGACACTACCTCCATTTGCATCAATCTTTTGCGGGACGCATGCAAGAGCCATGAAGTTTAATATCATTTGTCTATGCGCGAAGCGATAGATTTATACGCACACTAACATAGAGAACAAATGTATACAAGCTATACAGACGTATACAATAAATAGCGCATATATGCACTCATAAAATTTATGATTCGGCACGATTCATGTATATTCATGCGCGCGGGAAAAATGTGGCCGCGCGTTCTTATCGTTTAGAATTGTTGTTTTTAGCTGGCGGAAGTTGTCTTTGTTGAGCTTGGCATTGTCCTTTGTAAATTGCATTAATCTTTGGTTTAAGTTTACTTTTATTATATTGAGTTATATTGAGTATATTACTCAATACTTTTACTATACTTTTATTATATTGAGTTATATTGAGTAAAACATGTTACAATGTTTTAAATGATGATGAAAATTACATACATTACATACATATGCCCCGAGCATAAAAAAATCCATAATGTAAAAGTATTCTGTTTCTCTTGGGTTCGTTATTATTAATAATCTTATTTACTACGATGGAACAAATTAATAATGCTTATTTGGAAATGTAGTTTACATAACTTTAAACGAGACGTTTATTTTTAAATACAATTCCCTAGGCTATTTTAGCTTAAATCAGCTGTAATGCATTTATTACAAGTTGCAGCACATCCATCGAACTTGAAAATTTAAACATCATTTAACAACGAAAAATAAAACAGAAACAAAATTAATAACGTTCAAGTAACGAATATCATTGTTTAATACATTGAAAATAATAAAACGGAGGTAAGTTATTATCTTCTCTCCCAGTCAATATCTTTAAGAGCACATTGCACAAATATAAAAAAATTTTCGTATGTTGATTAGCGTCATACGTGAAAAATAATTGCACTTAAGGATATATTTTACAGGGATAATGTAACTATTTGATATTCGTGTAAATAGGATAATTGCAAATTTACGCCATTTATGAAATATAAACATCGCGGCACTGTCAAATAACGTAAAATAATAAATATTATAAGGTAAAACAATGTCAGAGAACGAAAAAATGTAATAAGAGGCAAAAATATATTTAAAAACAGAACAAAAAAACAAAAAACAAAACCTGCAGAGGAAGAACAAAGTCGAATTACACCCTCTAAAGTAAATATTATCTCTAATTAAATAAGTATATTGAATAGCATTGCAAATAATTAAAATTTATTCTAATTATTGTCAATAGCATATTACAACTAGGATATTTTGTTATTTATATGAAATAAATAAGGAAAGAATTGTTGTAATAAGGTTTTATGAAAAAATGTCACTGCAAATATTCTCCAATTTATGAATGTAAATGTTAAAATATTGCCACACGAGATTTACGATCAATTTTCAGTTAAAATGTAATGAAATAAATTTGCTCGACCTTTTCTCGTAAATCGAAACTCATAGTGCACTTAGTTTAGTTTATTTTATTTTTTTTTTAAATAACGTGTTCGATGTTATACTTGATTCGAGGAAAATTAAATTTTGCTTTGTAAATTAAAAATAATTTGAATAAAATATATAATTATAATTCATAAGACGAAAAATTGGAATTTATTTATTGAATTTGTATTTATTGACATTTTCTACAAATCTTGAATGTGAGTCTTGAAAACGTTATTGTAAATGTGTGTGTAAGCAAGAAATTTATACTTTTTAATTTTTCAAGTCTTATTATAAATTATGTCTATGTGATATTAAAACAACATTAATTGGTAGGAGTGAAGTAAAATATAAGAAAAGAACAAAAAAACAAAAAAAAAACAAAAAAAAATGCAAACATCGCAAACGATTTTTATCAATTTAAGGAAAGAAACCAATGTAAAGTAATAATAACTTGGCTCACACTTTTTCTGCATAGGATTTTTATTTTTTTCTTCCTTCTTTCGTTTTGTTTTTTATAAAAAAAAAAAAAAAAAACTAAAAAACATTCTCGTTTTTCAAAGAACTTGATATCGCCGGCAAATAATATACATATTTTTTTCATTTCTTTCTCTTTTTATGTTGCTTTTGTAAAAAAAAATTACCACTACACGATTTTGATAAAGAATCTTAGTTTTCTATACACGTTGTGTGTGTGTGTGTGTGTGCGCGCGCGCGCGCGTGTTTTTTTTTCATTTCTTTTCTTCTTCGAATTACACGTGATTCAATTTCACCAGCCGCGTTCCAAAAATTTCATATGTAGAAAAAATATCTCGAGCGCTTTGATTAAACATTGAATTTATTTTTCATGTCATAGATGAAGAATTGTTGGTGCACGGGAATTTTTGTAAGAAAATCATGCGTCTGATGCAATCGATCGAATCTGTTATCGAATTTGAAGCGGCTCTAATTAAGGCTTTGTTCGACGTTCAATATACTTGCAGATTTCATTGGGTAAGACTGTTTGAATGTCGAAACGAGTATTGTTTGAGGCTCGATCGATGCGCGGCTTTTGCCCTGCAAGCGGCAGGAGGAGCATTGGAAAAATCTCACAGCAGATGATGATTTTTAACCGAAATTAAGAAAACAATAGACAAGAAACAACAACAGCAACAACAATAAACAAACAAACAAACAAACAAACAAATAAATAAATAAAAGAAAAAATTTAGACAAAGATGAAAAAAAGCCTCTAAAAGATGTAGTTCAATGAAGTAGCGATGTCTGGAAGGAAAATTGTGGGTTACATCATGAAATAGTTATGGAGATGCACTGCCGGATGAAGATATCGGAGATCGGTAAAGGAGCTGTGTGCGAAGGACCTGGGCGCGATATAAATTGCCATCTCTTATCGTACGATCGGTCTATTTGAAGAATTGAAAACAAGCATGGAAAGCGGAAGGTGGATCGATGGTGGCCGTGGGATCGGCCGTGCAAGTCGCGGGACAAAAGCGAAAACGAAACTGCGAGTAGTAGTAGTAGTAGTAGTAGTAGTAGTAGTGGTGATAGTAGTAGTAGTGGTGGTAGTAGTAATAGTGGTAGTAGTGGTAGTAGAGTGTGGGGGAGTGCCGAGAATCGCGGATGTCGGCAGCCGGTGGTAACGTCACACTGCGGTAAAAAGCAGAACCTACGGAGGAGTCACGGGGGTAGGATCAATGCTGCGTCGATGGGTCGCGAGTGTGGTAGGAGCGGCTGTGGCGGGGGCGGGGGGGGGGTTTTTT